TTCTCCTTGGGAATAAATTATAAATTGACACAGTCCAGCAAACTGTCTTAATATTAAATATTATCACAACTGTTGTTCAATATCTTAGAAAAGTAGTTAACCATTATTTGCCATTGTGTGTCTACTTGAGAAGAGTAATATCTGAAATCCAGCAAGACCAGGATGGTTAGGAAAAATAATGGAAATTTTTTTCTTATTTCCATTAGAGCAGTTTTTAAATTGTTCTTGGATATGTGAGTTCTTTCTATGATATTTTAAATACTTGAAGCTTAAGCTTATAAATGATATTTGAATGTAATGAGGTTTTTCTTTATGGAATGTAGTCCTTGCTATAAACCTATGAAGGATAGTAGCAACAAATGGAATATGTTAATAATTATTCATCATGGTTAATTTTAAGTTTAATAATTAACATTAAATTGCAAAAGAAACATTTGATCATGTGTAATATGTATATTGTAAAATGCCATGGCATAATCAGTCTAGAGGAAGTTAATGAGTACCCATTTGAAATCCTACTCATTTATGTTTATGCTTATTAGTATATAATAATTAATAAAATGATTGGTGATAAGAAAATGGAGTATGTAAATAGTCCTCCACATGTAAGCCCCCAATGATAGTACTTGCTTTGGAAAATTTATTTCCATGTGTCACATTTTTAAGAGACTAAGTTTAGTATATCCATTTCAGTCACTAGAATTAACTTCTGTGGAATGTATTCTGGGCTGTAATTTTCTGTTAAATGATATGAACACATTTTCCCTTTTGAGTTAAGAGAACACTAGCCAAAATGGATCACCACAATGAAGGGGATCATTTTCTCTGCCATTCTATAGCTTTATTAATTTAGAATATCTTTTGTTCTAATTTTGACCTGCAAAAAATAAAACCAATGCTCATTTTAATGGAAATTTTCAAGAGAAAGAATAGAATTAAGATGCCATACTACATATGCAGGTCACCTGTAATATTCAACAACAACACTGAAACCTTAGTGGATTCCCATCCTAGAAATGTATTTTCAACTCAGGATTCAATCACATGATAGTTCCTATTGGAGAGGTACCTCATCCCTTAGGGTCTTGCAGGCATCTATATCATACTTGTCAAAGACACACAGTTTTAAGGGCCAGCCCTGAAGTGGTCCAATCGACTTCCTTCTACATGCCTGTTAGCAGAATGCAGCCACCTGTCTCACGAAGCACAGAAACATCTGCTTGTTCATGGAAGGAGCAGAAATACAAGAAGGAATGGAAATAGCATCGATGAACAGCTTTGTTCTCCACCATAGACTTACTCAGGGGCAATCATCCCTCACTTATCCTTGGTTATAACCTTTCCTCTCCAAATCGTTCCTCTCCACCCCATTCTTCCACTCTCCTCTTCTTTCTGGCAACCACCAGGTAAGCAGCTTTGTTCTACCACACTTTTTACCATGAGTCAGAAATAATGGAAGCAAGAGATCCACAACAGACTATCTGCTACAATGAAATGCACTTCTCACATTCGTGCTCTGTTAGTATCAGCTTTCACACTCTGGTTAATTGCTGTCCAAGTTCATTCTAGTACATTATGCATTCATACAACCAGTCAGGTCATCAGTACAAGGGCACATATAACTAGTGAGCTGTTGACAAACTTTCAAGTATATCATCCACGTTACACCTGGGACGTTTTCAAGACTAAGATCAAGGACAAT